GGCACTTATAAAAGTGAAACAGGTATTAGATTCACTCTACAAACTTAGTAAGATGGTATATGCAAGCTAGTTATACAATAGTTAACAGATATAAATAGTAAATAGATAAATGTACAGACAATAGTATCCACTACTAAACAGCAAAGCTAGTTTGTGCCCATAACATTATTATGTCGAGCACACTAAATCTCTCCATGAGCAGGAACGATAGCCAGCAGAAGTGAATGGCAGCCAGGAGCTCTCAGGGTGATAAAAAGGTTCTGGAATTGGTATCCAGGTGACTGCATCACCTCTGGCTATACTGTGAAAATAGTAAATGTAAATGTCACTCAAATTACAGTTCAAAACAGTGACTGTTATATGAACTCACTTTAATTTTTTTTAAGTGGAAAAGAGGCAGGCAAAATGAGAAAAGAACCAAGAAATGTTCTAATGGAAAAACAGAAGTAATATTCTTTCCTATTCTTCTTCTTCATCATCATCATCATCATAATTTCCTATTCATTATTTAATGGGCCTCTGAATAATCTGTTTTAAAGTCTTAACTTTAACTGATAATCAATAATGATGCTAGAATAATAGTTTTTTCTTACGGAAAATCAACACACAGCTCAATTTGATTAACAAATGTACATATAATTAAGAAATGAACATTTGTAAACTTTCTTCAAAAAGAAAATATATATGCTAGCAGCCAGGAAACAATACTCTTGAACCTGTAACAGGTTATACATGGGTATACAAGACAGTAATAGTTTTTTGTTAAATCATTATGTCATAAGACTGAGCTCTGATTGTTTCCTTATAAAAACTATAGGCAAGCTGGGCTTGGTGGTCATGCTTGTCCACTCATAGGGGGAAATATAAGGATCATGAATTCAAAACCAGCCTGGACTATACATAAGTCATCCTGAGTCACACATCATGCCTCCACCTCAAAATACATCAAACTTAGAAAACAATTTGCACACATAACTCTTTTTCATTTTCAACATTTTTCAAATTGAGCTCCATGAAACACTGTCTAGGAAGATGAGCATTAGCAAATTATGAAAAGAAACCAAGAGAACACAGAGAAAACATAAAAGATGGGGAAAGAAAAGTACACCTGGTGGCACTGTACTAAGCATTTTGCATACAGAGTAGTTTGTCTCTGCAGCATCTACATTTTCCTGAGTCATCAGGAGCAGAACAGATCACAAGATAAACCCCTTAACACACCATGCATCAAGACTGCTCAGATTTAAAAACACACAACTTTCATACTAGCCTGAGGGACAATGTAAAAGCACAAATCAAGATGAGTGGTGGTGATGAATACTTTTAATCCCAGCACTCAGAGGAGTCAGAGGCAGGCGGATTTCTGAGTTCGAGGCCAGCCTGGTCTACAGAGTGAGTTCCAGGACAGGCAGGGCTATACAGAGAAACCCTGTCTCGAAAAAAAAAAAAAAAAAAAGAAGAAGAAGAACAAAGAGTAAATAACATATCAGAAGAAGACATGGTTTTGTATCACCCCCCTCTTAGTTGCAAAAAATGAGGAGAAAAAAAAAGGAAGCAGTTAAGAGGAAGAACAACAACTACTGTGGAAGGCTCCTCAGTCCCTCCTGCCCTGCCTTGTCAGCACACATCTTAGGTTAAGCAAATCACCTGTGATTAGAAAGCCAAGCTCCAACTCTGGCTGCCCCTCCATTCCCACTGTTCATATGAATCCCAGATCCCAAATGAAGAAGCTAAATATTTTTCTCAAATTTTGTAGATCTCAACTATGAAATTTTACTTATCATGACACACTATATTTTCCAAACTGTGTTACACACAAAACAGTTTAAGTTTACCTCACTCCAAGTAATGATATAGTATAATAACAAAGAATAAGTTTTATATAATATTTGTTTGGGGGAAATATAAAAAAATATGAAATAGATAAAAAAAAATATTTTAAAATATTTTTGGACACCCTACTAGACAAAGCAAAGAAAAATTAACTGCAAAAAAGTTTTTTTATTAATAAAAAAGTAAAGATGTTATAGTTTCCAATCTGAAACCCCCCTCCCAGACCAGTTGTGGAGCCTTTTGAAAGTGAAATCTGGCTGACAGAAATCAGTCACTAGGGGCAGATATCTGAAGATTTCTCTGGTCCTTGCTTCCTTCCATAACCATGAGGAATTACTGCCAAACACTCCATCCACCATGAACTCTGCCCCAAACTCAGGATGCCATGGACCTGGAGGGATGGAGTGTCTCTGCCCTCCCTCCTCAACCACCACACCCAGAAATCCTTCTCAAACCATGAGGCAGATGAAACCTCTCTTACATTATCTGCTTCTTCCAGGCTATCTGGTGATATGAAAATGAAAATACTTATACTGAGATGTTATCAACTTTAAAGCAAAAGGAAGCACTAACATCACCAACCAAGATAGTGTGCACAAATTGAAGTAATCGGTTATTTAGGTATTGGACACAAATGTTCTTTGAAGAAGTCAATCCTAAAAGGCATTTTAATTAATTATTTGTAGGGGCTAATGTTATGGTGATGCCTTTGATCCCAGCACTCAGAGGCAGAGGCAGGATAGATACCTATGAGTTCAAAACAAGGCAGGTCTAGTAACCAGGCTAGCCAAGGTTACTTATTAGTTCAGATCCTATCTCACAAAACAACAAACAAACCAACACACACAAAAAATTATTTGTAGTCACTTTAGCTTGTAGGAAAAAGCATATCTTCCTTTCTAGTCACTATTCATCCTTTACTATAACAGAGGGTGGGGGACTGGCAAACAGAAGTTACCCAGGCCTTAATAGTCATTTATCTTAACAAGCAAAAAACAAACACGGAGCAGTTTTAAATCCAGCTGATTCTCCATTGCTGCTATGCTAAAAATATTATAGTAAGAAGCTAGAAGAACAACTAGTAAATAATACAGATAGAAGATTACTTTCTTAAAAAAATCTGAGAAAACCTGAAAAATCTCAAGCTAAATTTAAAAAAAAAAACTAAAAAAAAAAAAAAACTAGATACATAAAGCTAGACAGAATTAATTTCTGTCTTAGTTACTAATTATAAAATGAATGTGCAAATCTCTTACTTTGCAAGTATAAGTACAGGGATCATGAAGCAGAAGCCTTGGAACCAACTAATTTTCCAACACAACAGATTTTTGGCTAAGTTACTGTAGTATAAGGTGTAATGACCAGAGGTTAAAGGTCTAGAAAATAGAACTGTAACCTGAAAGACAATCTAATTGCCCTCACTGTTAAGTATGTAACCCATACTTAACAGAAACCAATATAAAATTAGCATGGCAGCTTAGTCAAAAGAACATGACATGACCAGAAAACTTCCCTTCTACTCAAAAGTTCTTGCACACTTTTCAATACAGCTCAAGTACTGATTTGGTTTGGGTAAACAGATCCTTGGCTGAATGTGAAATGGTGTATCTTACAAGACATAACATGAAAGACAAACAATCTGCACCAAAGCAGAAAATAATTATCTGGTAACCTGTATCTAGGCAAACTGCCACTTACTATACTCTGCAACTTTCAATTCAGAAATGTCCTCTCTTACTTTCTTTCTGTGGCCTATTTCATTTTCTCTGCACCATCACTGACTTGAGCTGCTGCTCCTGTGGGTCTGCCATGCTAACCACCCTTCCACTGCATTCTACTTAATTATGAGAAGGCAAATGTATTTCCCTATTGTTAAAGGCTTTTAAACAGTTACCTCTGACAGGATAACCTAAAGTTTAATGGAAACTACAAAGCAGTTAAGGGGCTTGGGGTTTCTTTTGGTAAACTTTTACAGATGGTGAAACTTAAACCTGAACAAAACATAAATAATACTATAATAAATTGTCTAAAGAAGCACAACTTAATACAATAAAAATTAACCACTTAGAAAACTGACAACTAGCTCATCTAAAGGCGTAAAATCATGCAGTACTACAAAAAGCATCCTGCATGACACTCTCCAAATTACAAAGTACTTTCCCGCCTATTTAAATCAGCATAGTCGCAAAGTAGTTAAAAGTCCCAGGAAAGATACGCACTTATGAGTAAAAAGGAAATAATGTAAAATTTTAACTTTTTTACTCTTTTTTTCTTTTCTTTTTTTTGGTTTTTCGAGACAGGGTTTTTCTGTGTAGCCCTGGCTGTCCTGGAACTCACTCTGTAGACCAGGCTGGCCTCGAACTCAGAAATCCACCTGCCTCTGCCTCCCAAGTGCTGGGACTAAAGGCGTGCGCCACCACCGCCCGGCTCAAAATTTTAACTTTTAAGTTCATTAAAGTACTTCAGAACCAGCATACCAAATATAGCAAGACTCAGTATCAATGAACTGTTAAAATACTATTATAGTTTGTAACAAAAATTTAATGTTCATTTACTCATATAAATGGATTTTTATTCTGAAATTAGAAAATATTTTAAGGCTAATTTGACCAATAGGTAATTTCATATATTCTTAGGTCATAATATATTTTTTAAGTGGGCCTAGAGAAACTCTTTTCTGAACTAAGTAACAATTAATTACACTTGGAAATTTTGTAAAATTATGAAACTCTTCATTTAGTCCCTCTATACTCATTGTATCAAACACTACTGAAGATATGAGTTCTACATAAAAACACATCAGTCCCCATTCCTCGGTATGAATAGCTAAACAAACCCACTAAAGCAAGGCCTAATCCAAACGTAAAATCAAAACCTCGTACTGTAACAGAAGCTAGGGGACTAACCTGGTAAGAAGTATCTTATGGAATACAAAAAAACCATGACATAAATAAACATGATTATATAGAAAGTCAGTTCTTATCCAGTTAACCGCATCCAGCTGAGAGCTCTCAGATGCTTTAGGTTAAAACTTTCAAAGTACTGCCAAAACAAAACAAAGTCTACATCATCATGCAAATACTGTTCTGTGTTTTAGAAATCTTTTCTAAATAAAACACATCAACATAATTTATTAATATATGAAATAGATAATCAAGAGTGCTTACCTTACTACATCATCAATATTGTTCCTGTACACACCTTCAAGTCTTTCTGCAGGAAATCCCATAGCAATAATATTTGGATAAATATCTGAATTATTAAGTTAAGGAAAAACCAGAATATACAATGACACAAACATGCATGCATTTGGAAACATCAGCTTTTCCCACTACAGCTATAATTATAGAAGGCTGTCAAATGTACTTTTCTGCTCCTTGAGCCCTATAACCTGTACAGTCACTCACCATCCTTAGACTTCAAGTTCCTACTCCACACAGTGAGTCAACCGGTGGAGATAATCTTGTCCTTGACACTTATGCTGTCATAATACTCGAATGAGGTTGAACTCTACATGCTTTCTTCTCATCAATGTAATAAGTACTTTGCATGTCCATTAGTTTCAATTGTGTTACACACCAGTTAACATAAAAACCCATTTCTATATTCAGGAAGAATTTATTTCCAATTAACTAAAAATATACACTTCATGAATCTTGTCCATCTTTCTAGCTCTCACTTGTTCTGGGGCTCCACCAATTCTCTTTCATCAGATAATGACCAACAAGACTTTCACATCAACTATACCAAGTTGCCACCTTTAAAACAACCACTAAAGATCTCTGCCTACATTTTCTGGATACATTTGCCTTCCACATATTAGTTAGTAATAGATCTTCAAGCCACTGAGGCGGCTTTGGCCATAGACACTACAAAGGCAGAGCACCATCTGTGATGGCAAAGTATCTTTAACACCAAGTCACAACGTCTTTAGGTAAAAATGTTAACTTACAGGAATAATATAGATGGACAGGCTAAATAATATCATGCAAGAATAAATGAGACAAATTAAAAAGTCTGAGGACATGACTGAGCACCCTCAGCAAGTCAAGTTACACCTTTAAGGTTCCTAATGCATTCAGTGCATGTATAGACACATATAGACTTCAACAACATTTTCTACACCAGGAACAAGTTTTCTAACTGTAAGAATACATAAATCTATCTCAACCAAAGAATTAGAAAAGTTCCAAATAAAATGATTATCATTTAAATGTCACAAACATTAACTGTCATCTATTACTCTAAAGTAAGGGTCACATCTAAAACTAAAGCTCTTCTTTACTTATTAAAATGTGCTGGTTATATTATGTTCAGTAATTGGGGGGAGGGGAGGCAAGCAAAGAGGTTTAACCAAGACAAGAGCAATACAACTTCTGAATCGTTTTAAAAACAATTCAACTTTTAATACTGGAGTTTTCAATAAAGATTGACTTACATTGCAAAAAATTCAATTTTCTCAATACCAACTTAAGAAAAATGGGAAATACAAAGACTAACTCACCAGAATGGAGCCCCAAAGAGTGACAATCATCTCTGAAATCCCCACCCAAAATATTATAAATTAATTTTGGTCAAAATATAAATTCAGGGGTTAGAAGAGCTAGCTCAGTGACAGAAGGCTTTACCTAGCAAAGGCAAAGAACCCTTGGTTGTACCTAACACACACTAAGAAAAAACATATATACAACCGGTATGCACACAGACATTTAAGGATTTAAATAATCAATGATTTACTGAGTAATGCAGAACTGACTTTAATTAAAAGAAAAAATACTATTACTATTTTCCATGAAATGTGGCCATTCTATCTAGGACTAACTTCAAATTTAGCTTTGTGCTGTATTTATGTATTTATGAAGTTGGTAAAAGATTGGGTTAATTTCCTGACCACTTTCCTGTTGTTGCTAACCCCAGCGTAGGCTACCTCAGAGCATAGCTATCCCAGCTTAGTTACCTTCAAGAAAGACAGGCACACAGACCTACCCTACCATGGCACTAACAGTACTACTGTAGTTTTTTAAATGAAGATGTTTTCAGAGGGAGAGATTAGTTCTGTGGAAGTGTGATTAAAGCATCACCAAGTATTATGTTGGATAGCACTCACAGGAGCCTTATCAAACACTGGTGACAGAAGAAAACACAGGGATATTGGGAGAGATGACCCAGCAGTTAAACATACTTGCTGTTCTTGCAGAAAGAGGATCAGGTTTGGTTCTCTGCACCCATATCAAACTGAATACCAGACACACATATGGGGAAGAGACATGTTTGCAAGTATAACACTCATATGCATAAAAAATAAAATTTATATTAGAAAAGATATACTTAGTGTGGCTACAACGGTCCAAGCAGGGAACTGCAACAGAGACAAATCTATCCAGGAATAGGAGCCCAATGCAACTCATAAGACACACAGAAAGGATGCAATTTACATACAACAGACACAGGTTTAAGGATGCTGTGGCAAGTAGTTCAATTCACTCAGGCATATATACATAAATGGAGTCATAGTCAAGAATAGGGGAGCTCTCTGCAGAGAAAAATCCTCATCATGGCCTGTCAAGTCAGCACACATCAAGACCTACCTGCATTTACCATTTCTGGAGTTTCTTCTCTTGCTGTCTACCAGTGCTTTCAACCAGTGGTACTGAGAGCTTACACGTTACATATTACAAAGAAAATTCCTTGGGGCTGGAGAGATGGCTCAGTGGTTAAGAGCACTGACTGCTCTTCCAGAGGTCCTGAGTTCAAATCCC